AGGCCATGAGAAACACTGCTTACTGGCTTACTCCCTGGGCTGATGCTCAACCTGCTTTCTTATATAATGCAGGACAATCTGCCCAGGGGTGGCACCACCCACAGTGGCCTAGGCCCTCCTACATCACCCAACAATCAAGAAAATGCCCCATAGACATGACCACAGGCCAGTCCAATGGAGGCAATTCCCCAATGGAGGCTCCCTCTATCTAGGTGTGTCAAGTAGACAGCTAAAACTATCCAGCACACTTACTATCTATCATTTTTAAATGACAATGATGGGCATGAGGTTTCTACCTAAGGAAATACCTCATAAAAGGTAATGTTTTTCTTAATTTTTAAATTTTATTTGCTTTACTTGTGTGTGTGTGGGGGTGTAGTATATACAGGAGTATGTGTTGGCATGTGTGTATATCTGTGCATGTAGGTGAGTGTGCACAAGTGTGCATGTGGATGTGGATTCCAGAGGTCAGCATTAGATATCTTCCACAATCACTCTCTACCTTTTTAAAATTTAGATTTTTATTTTATTTTTTGTGTGTATGTATGATATGTGATGTGAGCATATGAGTATGTATGCATATTCTTGTATATGGGTGCTGGGACCTTTATGCCATGGCCTGCATGTGACAGAGGACAGACTTGGGTGTCAGTTCTCATTTTTCCATTTTGTTTTGGATGGTCTCTTCAAAGCCTAGCTGGCTGGTGAGCTTCCAAGCCTCCATAGAGAGTCTTCTGTCTCAGCCTTCTCTCAGTGGGGGGCGCTGGGATTACAAACTCTTGCACTACAGCATCTGGCTTTTATGTGAATTCTGAGGATCTGAACTCAGAGCCTTAGTCTTGGTGGGAAGTACTTTTATCTACTGAGTTATCTCCTATCCCCTCACCTTGATTTTTGAGACAGGATCCCTCACTGAGCCCTGTGGTGAACTCACAGAGTTCACTGAGTGACAACACTGGCTGGCCAGAAAGCTCTGGGAGTCTGCCTACTCCCCACCACCACCCCAAGAGTTACAAATGTCTGTGACTATGCAGCTCTTTAATGTGGGTCCTGGAGATATAACTCAGGTCCTCATCCTTGTCCAGTGGACATTTTACTGACTGAGCCATCACCTCAGCTGGAGTAATGCTTTTGATATTGGTGGGAATCTGGGTATGGTGGGCACCTCTAGGTTCTTATGTCTCAGAACAAAGAATTGACCAGAGAGATATGTCAATGATGACAGAAGCAAACAATTCATTAGGAAAATTTAGACTTGAAGGAAGGACACTGGCCTCAGCAAAGAAGTTTAGAAGCTCAGGACAGGAAGCAGTGTACAGAGTTGGAGCTTTTTATGTGACATAACAGGGGCTCTGGTGGCCATTTGCATACTGCAGGCCTATCCACAATGCTCTGTTACTTGTAGCCTTACATATTCTTTCATGTATCACATGACTTGTTAGCATCATAAACCTCCACCCAGGGGTGTGTGTTTTGGTGTCATAATGAGTCATGGGTCACCTTCAGACACTCTAGTGCCTTTGTGCCTGTGCTAGTGGCTCCTGCCAGTTCTAGTGGGCCTTAGCTGGCCAACAGGTTTTACTCCTATGCTAATTTTGTATCCTTCATGGAAGGCCTTCCGGAAGTCACTCTCCATCCTGCTCACCTGCCTCACTTTCATCTAGTTTTTTTGGTTGTTGTTTTGTTTTGTTTTGGTTTTGGTTTTTGGTTTTTGGTTTTTTCTGTCTTTTGAGACAGGGTCTCCCTGTAGCCCCAAGCTGGCCTAGGACTCACTATGTAGACCAGGCTAGCCTTGAACTCACAGAGATCCACCTGCCTCTGCCTCCCTAGTGCTGGGATTAAAGGCGTGTGCCACCATGCCAGGCATTTTCATCCAGTTTTAATTCATGTATTTCCTTGGGAGACTCTTAAGGAATGACTCTAAGATAAGAATGATTTTAGGCCCTTTTTGTGACAGTTGGGGTTGGGGGTACTTTTTTGGAACTGTTTTATTGAGAAATAATTTATGTTTTATGAAGCCAACCATTTCTTAATAGCTAAAGGGTCTGCCCATAAATATTCATGCAATGGAAGATTCTTTGCCCTTAAAAACGAAAGGAAATTTACACATGCTACACCATGGATGAACTTTGAAGATGTTATACCAAAAGAAATATGCCATTCACAAAAGACAAATCCTGAAATCATTCCACTCTCATGAGGTACCTAGTAAAAAAAGTGTTGAAACAGAAAGTAGAATGGTGGTTCCTAGGGAGTAGGGGAGGGAAAGGGAGTTACAGTTTGATGAGTTCGGTTTTAGCTTTGCAGAAAGAGAGTTGTGTCACTGAATGGTGCAAATGGTTCTTTAACAGTGAGAATGTACTTCATGTCACTGAACTGCACATCTCAAAAAGGTTAAGATGGTAAATTTTATGTAATGTGTATTTTGCTGCTATAAAAATTTCTAAAATGCACAATTCAGCAGTTTCTAGAATGTTCACAGTTTTGCACTTCTTTTGTTTTCTTTTTTTGTCTGTTTGGGACAGGGCCTTACTGTATAGCCTTAGCTGGCCTGTACACCAGGCTGGCCTCAAACTCATGGCAATCTTCCTGCCTCAGTCTCCAAAGTACTGGGATCTATCACCATGCCTAGCTGTAGTCATTGCTATAATCTAATTTTCCAATATTTTCATCATTCCGGTACCCTTTCAGTAAACCTTTCATCTCTGAGAGCTTGAGGGAGCTATTTTTGATAGACCATGGTGTCATCACAGATTTAGAAGGCCCTTGGAGATTTAGATCAAGCTCCTCAGAAGAGGTTCAGAGAGGCAGAGTATATTGGCAAAAGCCGCAGGAATTCGTGGGCAGAGCCAGGTCTGATTTCTTGTGGAGTTAGTTTTTCCATAACAAAAAATGCTGTGTCATTCACTTCTTCCAGCTGATGCTGACAATAGATTCGTGGTACAGAGATGATGTTACCCTTCCCTGCTGTGGACAGCTGGGCTCTTTTCTGTAGCCTTTCACTTCACCCTCCTAAGTCTGGAAGCTAACAGTAAAGGCAGGGCAGTAGAAAAATCTGCATGTGTACAGTAATGCTCTCTCATGCCTGAGCTATGTCAAAAAAGAGCTACAGTGGGTTTTATTGATAACATCTCAACCACTTTTATAAGCCAGGCTCAGTGACTTTACTTTTGAAAGATGTGACTTTTATGTATAGGTGGCAGTGGTGTCAGCAAACAGCATCATATAGCAGAAATGTCAAGGACGGGGGTCAGTGCATTCCTGCCCATGGGCTGGTGGACGGTAGCAGAAGACAGTAAACTGAGGGCTTTGCTACATCTTGCCAACTTTTGTTTCTTGCTTTTCAACAGTACTTAGGTCTGGCAGAGCCATGACCAGGGAAATCCACTGGAAAATATAGGTGTCAGATGTGGGATGGGAGGATTACCATTGTGAGTACCTTCGAAAGGTATTCAGTATTTCTTCTGAATTGGTCAATTGAAGTATTTTAAATTCCCCTGTTTTCCAGGAGGCTGGTGGAGGGGAAGGGTTCTATGGTAGTTAAATATGGAGAATGAGAAACCAAATTAACAAAGGCTGTGGAAAATCATGGACCCACAGATGCTGAAATAGCTAAAGACCTGAAGCTAATGGGGGTGAGGCTGGGCCTCTGGTTTCCTCTATTGTTTGAATTCTTGGGGAATTGTGTCTGTCTTCGTCCTGTGATATAGGCCCTAGGAAGTGCTTGGAATTTCTTCAGCCAGGCCACTCAAGAGAAAAGTACTCTAAATGTCCTGTGAGTTCCCATCCAATGAGAAAAACTTAACTGGAGAGATTGCTGTGGCTCCCAGACAAAGAAGTCTCTGAGGACCAGGACTAGATCACCCATTTTTGAACTCTCAGTACCTAGCAGAGTGCCTGGCATATCTGTTTACTGAATGAAAGAATAGCAACATTTCACATCAAATGATGCATTGTTATTTACAAAATGATTTTTTAATTTTTTTACCATGCATGAACTCATCCTCACTAGCTCCAGACTTTACCCATAGAAGGTAGGTAAAGTTGCTTCACAGATGAGGTCATATAGCTGTAGGTGAAAGAGGTGGCTTCCAGTCTGTAAACCCACTGGTATTTTTATTTAGGTATCTTATAGAGATTGCCTTCCAAAATGACTACCAATAAGGGCCAGTTGGTTTCTATACTCTGCTCTTGTATCTGTGCTAGACATATTATTTACTTAAATCTTCCAATACTGACATTATATTCTGCTATTTTAAACTCAACACAACTACATCATGAGTTAAATAGAATTTAGGGGCTAGGCTAGTAAAGAGGTGAATGTAGTCTGTAGTAGCAATTTCCTGCGGTAGATATGGCATGATAGCACTATTGTATCAAATACAGTTTTTGGTAATTTCAATTAAGTAGATTGTAGTTTTATGGCCTTAGGTCTTCAAGAAACACATGTTCAAACATTCTCAATGCTTAATGAGATCCTTGTTCCTGTTGAACTTCTATGACCTTATTGGAAATCAATAATTACTTCTGATCTTCAAAATGTAATGTTGAGGAGGCCTAGATGAAATCATTCTACAGAAGGGTTTTGAGATTGCAGGATGTGGAGAGCTAGCAATAATTAAAATGAGTGCTTCTGCTTGGAGGTATATCCTATTTTAACTATGTGTATATCGTGCGCGAGGGAATTTCTCCGCACTCCTGGTAACAGGTATCGCCTAACTCCTGGGCAGAGCTGCTCGGTTTAAGGGAGGAAAGAGAGCTTTCCTTCGTAGCAACTGTTGCTATGGGGTGGGGTGTCTTCCAGTCCCGCGCCGCCGCGGCTAGCGACCCCCTTCCCCCACCCGCGTGGACTACACTTCCCATGATGCCTCGGGCGGGCTCCGTTGTGACGCACGCGGGGTTCGCCGAGGGAGGGAGCGCGGGGGCGGTGCTGCGGACGGGGGCGCTCTCCAGGGTCCGCGCTCGCACTCCTCCAGTCGCCGCCGCCATGTTGGGCTGAGGCGATGACAGGCGGCGGTCCGGACGTGTGGGGCTGAAAAGTGGAGGAGGAGGCGGAGGGGCAGAGCTCCGAGGGGGAGCAGTTCCCCCGGCTGAGAGAGGAGGAGGACCCGGCCTCTTCCGGGGCCGCGGGAGCTCGCGAGGCCGGGAGCAGAGGGCAGCGAGGCGGAGGCGGCGGGAGCCGGAGCCGGACGCGATGTGCTCCGAGCCGCGCGGCTGCGCCCAGGCGCCCACGGCCTGAGCCCCCGGCGCTCTCCCCGGCTGCGGGCGAGGCGGATGCCCTTGAGCGCGGCTGCCCCGGGCGCGGCTGTGCGGCTCCGCGGCGCGCACTGAGCCTCCCGGCTGCCTGGCCGCTCCGCCGCTGTCCGGCAGGCACTCGATGTGTAGCCACATAGTTATCTGTGCACATCCTCGCCGCGGCATTTTTCTCTGCTTAATGAGGACCTGACTCGGGAGCGCGTGTGAATCACTGCTGGGCTGGGGAAGGAGGAAGGCGATTTAACCCCCTCCCACCCCGCTCCATGTCCGTGTGTCACTCGGCTCTGTCCACCTGGCGCGGCGGGTCCTGGCGTTGCTGCTGCGGCTGACGACCGGGCGCTGCTGTCCCCACACTTCCTTCGCGTTGTCCGGCACCTCAGCCTCGGCCAGACCGGCACTTGGGCTCCCAGAGAACTTCTAGTTTTTGGAAAGCACATCACGAACCAATCAAAACTGTGAAGGTTTATTTACATAGCTGGAGGATTTCTGCTCTTGTTTGTTTTCTGCGTAAACATCTGGGTGTCTACCAAACGGCAAGATGTCCAGCAATGTCCCGGCGGATATGGTAAGTGAGCGATAAGTTCTGATAGTCTGACTTAATTGTGATTTCCAGTCTTAGTTAATCAGAACGGACGCCCGCATGGGGACGGAGGTTGCTGGGGACTGTCGAAAAGCCACCGCACTTGGAAGGTTTGGAGAAGTTGGCGCTTCTGGTGGTCCCCATTGAGGAAGCGCTGTGTTTTAACATGGGGTTTCTCTTTTGCTTGTGTTTTCGAAGTCACCTAAGGCCGTGGAGAAGTAGGGAAATGCAGCAGGAGCTGGTCCGGGAGGAAATTCCTCTTTTTGCTAGAAGGCTCTAATGCTTGTATTTTAACGCTTCGGAAAAACGTCAGTGACGGGGCTGAGCCGGGGACGGCGCCGTCCTGGAGACCTAGGCGGATGGGAAACCGGGATCTTGCTCTGTGATAGACAAGATCATCAGTACAATAGGTACACACTGATATTTTTTCAGGAACAGGGATGCACCTCTTTATGAAAAAAAAAGTCTTGCTGCGAGCTCTTCGGTATGTCCGGACGAGCAAATATGCCCACAGAAGCCGTACAGTGTTTGGGATTTTCTCAATGCTATCTAGACTGATCACCTATTAATTCTTTGTATAAATATTTCAGGGCTTCTTAGTAACAAATGTTTAGTAGTATTGACGTTTTAGTTTTTTTTGTTTTTTTTTTTCCTTAAGCCAATGAAACGTGTTTATCGAGCCTGGATCACTGAGTGTTGAGAACTTGAAACAAAAAGTGCCCTTGTTTATTGAGGCTTTTCCTTCGGTTTATAAAGGTTAAAGCTGTGCGTCTGTTGACTAACATTGTGTAGCCTTAAAGTGCTAGGGTGGGGGTTGTGGGAGTGTGAAATTACACTTTGCAGTCCTAAGGGCAGACATAATGCAATTATCAGGAAGATGAATAATCCTGTTTATTGAAAGAATTGAAGTTAATGTAATCATGCCCACTTAAATTAAGTTCACATTTGAGTGTATGTACATAAGAGAGCTGAAACTAAATTGAACTTTGCTAATGATTACATTTTAATACGTCAAATATTTCTATATCAAGAAATCTCTTTTGCATGTTTTTAAAAGAAAATAACTCAGAGGTCTTTTGACCTTGGCTTAAAGACATTTTGGGTTTGGTTTTGTTTTCCAATTAACGCGCTATTTAAATGCAAAGGAACCACAGTGTCTGTCTCTTGGGTGGCCACACCACAGTCATACTTTGCTTCCTGAGTCTGAAAACTCGTGCATTGTCCTTTTAGTTTTCCTTTCCCTCTTGATGTGCACCCGAGGGATGGCCTCCTGCCTGGTAGAGTGGCTGACATAGTTTTCTTTGCTCTGCTCTTCCAGTTGCCTGGAGAGGTCTCTAGACTGAGCTGGAAATGTTATTTCCCCTGTTTGATGAGTGATCTGTGGACTCGTTGCCTTGGGCAAAGATTGGCGCTTTGTAAAGCCTCCATTTTATATCCTTAGCACAGTAGGAGCTGTGTTCACCTGAGTGCCATGTATTGTCACAGAAGTTGTAATGAAATAGATTTGTGTTATTAAAGCAGTGCCACTACTTTCTTCAGGCCCAGTGATGAAGAAAAAGTGGGATGCTGTAGTGTAGTCACATATTGAGAGAGATGATTTGGGGAATACCGGCTCTAGGAGAGATGGGAAGCTATGTTGGGATTAGAGGACTGGAAAGTCAGGGCAAGGTTTTATTAATAGCTGCAATTATAAAATATAACTACTTATCTGGTTTAGATTGTATGTGAAGGCCTTGATTCAGTGGTGCTTTGAGATCCCTTGATTAAAGGTGATATGCAAGGGCAAAGCAGTATTATGTAATAAACATATAATGCCTGATGATGCTCTTCAGAGCATGTCCTGAGGTCCAGAGCAGGTTACATAGTACCCTGGTTTTTTAAAGTGCCTCATGTTCAACTTGTTGGAGAATAACATTTGGTTTGTGAAAACCTTTTAAGCCTCCATTTGCCATTACTTAAATTGCAGTTTTTCCTTGTCTTTATTTGATAAGTGCGTAGAATCACCAACTTTAAAAAAATACCAACTTTAAAAAAATACTACACGGTATTTTGTTGTATATTGTTGATTTAATGCTTCATATTTTTCAAACTCATACCAATAGTTAACAATTAGAGTTTCCATTCATGACTACAGTGAGAACAGTTTGTCACTTTTTGTGTTTGAAAGCTGTCTCTTCATGCCCACATTTTCCCACCAAGTAACATTACCCTTGCAGTACAACCCTAAATTGATTAGGACACATATTGTTGCAAACATCTAAACTTGCCAGTGTGAATGCATATATTTTTGTTAGGTGCAGTAAAATGTTAACCTTTCAAGTGTGGACAGCTGGTCTGTGCTCTTTAGAAACAAACATTCTGGTCCTTCACATCTTAATGGCGCTTGTTGGCTCTGGGAACATGCTGCCAGGAGATGGGCGCTCGAGCCTGTTATAACTCCTGCCATGTTTTCATTAGTGATAATTCTTTCAGAGCTATCACAATTATTAAATCAATTGATGTTTTTGGGAAGTCTTATGGCTATGATTGTGACTCACTTTATAATATTTTAACACCACCCTTTATTTTGTAAGTAGAACTCATATTTAAAATGTATTTTTAAACATGGAATGCATTTTTCTTTACTATCAAAACATTTTTTAATAATCCAAATTTAGAATAAAGTGCCTCTGTAGTGAGTGCATTTGTTGTGCTTTGTACTAATTTACAAGTTACCTTCCCAATGAACATTCTGTAGTATATGTGCAGTGTATAGATTTAGTAAACGTAAGTACGTTTACTTAAAATGCCGATTTTTTTCCTTTGCTAATAGTGATAGAGTTTCAAGCATGTTTACTAACATCTCAGTGTAGCAAACTATCTGAAAAAAACCTGAAAATATATGAACAGAATTTCATTATAATAATACATTGTATTTAAATGATTAATTTACTTATTTTTAAAAAACTGTTTCCACAGTTTCTGATCTTCTTGGGGCAGTATCCATTGTTTATATTTGTATCGTAGCTTGTTAACTACTATAGGTTTGAAGACATTTACTGTGGATGTTAGAAATAAGGACCAAGACTCAGTAATAAGATAGTTTTACTCTCTGATTGAGAAAGTTATCACAAGATGTATTCTTGTATTCATAAAAATGTTTTATACAACTTTTGGGAGACTATTTAGGACTTTAGGCTAAAATTATACTTTATGACGTCTACCACATTGAAAGCTACCTGAGAAAGGAATTGTGTGAGGAGAATGGCAGCAGGCTGCTGGTATTTAAAGTATTTCAGTTGATGAGGCAGTTTCAGATACAGCAATCTGTAGCCTGAGGACCAATGATAGAATGATAATTCAGCTTTACCAGTACATTTCATGTGCTCAATAGAATATTTTAATTGTAATATTCATTTTATCCCCTCTATTTATGGAAGAAATATTTCTGGAGCCCTCTAGTGGACAGAAAATGACTAAAATGAATTTCCTTTCAAAGTGAACTTTTATCACTTTTCTACGTTAGTACTTTTAGTTTATTACAGTTTATTATAGGCCACAGCAGACTTGCCTTGCTGTGAATAATTTTTCTTCAGTGTATTTGACATCCTTAAGTCAAACTCATGTAGACACGAGTGTCTTATATTGGTTGTATCCTCCATGGTTTCTAAGCCAGAATCAGCATTTTAAACTGTTGAGGGACTTTCTTGACTCATGAAGTGTTCCTGTCTTTGCTACTTACAGAAAAAGTAAAAGGAGGGTTACATACTCCTACTAGTAAATATGAAGTTTGTGATGTCTGTGTTTATTATCACTTTGAATATGGAAACATTGTTAATATTACAGCATGAACTCCCTTAAATTAGTGGATAAGCTATGCTGACTCTAATCAGCTTTCATAATATGGAACAGATATGCTCTGATTTTCAAATTCTTCTCTTTTGAGAGAAATTGAAGTAACTACAATTCGTGATAATCTGGACACATTGAATAGTTAAGTTATTCTAAAGTAGTGAATTTTCCCAAATCATGAAGGTTGCATTTTGAAGTAGCCCAATATAAACATTTCAAATTATTCTCGTTAAAATAGAATGTAGTGTGCATAGTTTAACTTACTTTGTTGTTTTGGAATTTTTTTAGCTTTATTTTTAACTATGTGTCTCTGAGTGTGGGTGTGTGCACATGAGTGCAGGAGCCAGAGGTGGTTTTTGTTCTTTTGAGTCAAATATTAGCTTTGTGGCCTAGGCTGGCTTCATACTAGTAATCCTCCTGCCTCAGCCTCTTTAGTGCTATGATTACTGATATGTGCTACCACCACACCTGGCTAACTTAATTCAATAGAACCACCATTTTAATGATATATTTTCCCGTTCAGTGTTTATCGCACATACTATAATTGCAAACTACATTACATAATATAGCAGTAGTAGTCCATAAGCTATAAATGTGAAGCCCTGAGCTCTTTGCTTATAAAATGAGGTGAGGCAGGTCAGTCAAGGTATGAGAATAGGAGTATTATAACTTGCTGCTTATTTATCCACTGAGAGAGAGACTCATCCTCAGAAAGTATCCGCTATTCTGAAGAAATTGCTGCTTATGGAGAGAGCATTCTGAGAGCGTGTTTAGATATTTCCAGTTTGTTGAAAAGTTTTCTTTGCAGAGAATTCGACGAAACAAAAAACAGGTTTGCAAAAAAAAGTCTGACATCAGGAAAAATAAAATTTTTCTAACATTAGGTTGTTGGCTTCTAACATAAACTTTTGCATAGTTGGTAATAGAATGGAAAAGTGTCATTTTGTGAGGTAGTATGTGTGAATTCCTGTGAACTTTCGACGCATTTATTATTGTTTCGACGAAACAAAAACAATTTTCCAAAAAAAGTCTGACATCAGGAAAAATAAAATTTTTCTAACATTAGGTTGTTGGCTTCTAACAAACTTTTGCATAGTTGGTAATAGAATGGAAAAGTGTCATTTTGTGAGCTAGTAAGTGACATATATTATGCG